ACTTTCTGTGGCCGTTTGCGGTCCGGTACGCTGCGCATCAGCTCAACCTCTGGCCCCGGTGTCTCCTTGCCGGAGACCTCGCCCACACTGCTGTGGACGGGGGAGGTTGGCGATGCGTCGCGTTTCCGGGTCTGGGGATCTCGAGCTTTTGTCCGCGATACAACTGCGGACAAGCTCTCCTCCCGTGCTGTTCCCTGCGTCTTCCTCAGCTTTGTCCCGGACGCGCCTGGTTGGCAGTTTTACCACGCCACCTCGCGCCGAGTCTTGCCCTCTCAGGACGTCACTTTTGACGAGTCCGTCCCCTACTACCGCCTCTTCCCCTACCGCACTGCCCCGCTCCCCCCCCCGCCTCTCTTCCTCGCGCTAGGTGCTGCTGTCGTAGACCCCCTCCCCCCTCAGGGTGCCGCTCCCTCAGGTGTGTCTGAGGTAGACCCGGTTGAGCCTGTTGAGGTAGCTGTCGACTCTCGTCCTGCTGTGGGTGCGGAGCCTGGGGGTGCTGAGCCTGGGGGTGCGGAGCCTGGGGGTGCTGAGCCTGGGGGTGCGGAGCCTGGGGGTGCGGAGCCTGGGGGTGCGGAGCCTGGGGGTGCAGAGCCTGGGGGTGCTGAGCCTTGGGGTGCGGAGCCTGGGGGTGCTGAGCCTGGGAGTACTGAGCCTGGGGGTGCTGAGCCGCAGAGTCCGGAGTCTGGGGGTTCTGAGTCTGGAGGTCCTGAGCCTGAGGGTCCTACACCTGGCGGAGCCCTCTCCTCGGAGCAGCTGCGTGAGTGGTACTTCCAGTACTGCAGCCTCAGGAGAGGTACCTCTGGAGCCAGGCGTACTACTGGGACTGGTGCTAGTGCTTCTCCTCCTAGCCGGGAGCTCCCCTCCCGTGAGCGGATCCGTGAGTGATACGAGCGGCGCTGCACTCTTCAGAGTGGCGCGCCTGGTGTCGCGGACCCCGCTGCTGCTGCTGGTGCTACTGGTGCTGGAGACTCTACTGGTTCTGTTGGTGCTGCGGCCCCAGAGGTTGGAGCTGTTTCTGGTGCTGCGGACCCGGGCGTTGGAGCTACGGCTGGTGCTGCGGACCCGGGCGCTGGTGCCGCTGCTGGTGCTGAGGACCCGGGCGTTGGAGCTGCTGCTGGTACTGAGGACCCGGGCGTTGGAGCTGCTGCTGGTGCTGAGGACCCTGGCGCTGGTGCTGCTGTTGGTGCTGTGGAGTCCGGCGTTGGAGCTGCTGCTGGTGCGGAGGACCCTGGCGCTGGTGTCTCTGCTGGTTCTGCCAAGGTACAGTGATGTGGAACAGTGCCACACTGTCCCCAACCACCAAGGGTCTCGAAACTACCCTTCACAAGGGCCTACACTAACTGAAATGTTACACTACAAAAGGTAACTATCTTCACTATCTTGAGGTGTACCCTTTTGGCGAGCTTCGAAATCTCTTGAAGCTTGCAACCAAGGCTCGGGTTCTTCATCACAAACTCATCCTCGAGTTCTTGATGGGTATGCTGCACACACCTGCGACACGCCGAAGTTCGACAAACGACAAAATAGAAACCGCGCACGACAAAATAGGAACTGCGCGGAACACACAAAATGACCGCGTTACACGCGACTAGCAATAATTCGCTATAGACTTGACACACACACACTCGACATCATGACCCATCATGCATACAATATTATGAGCATGAAATATATATTTATTTCATACACTCATTCCATTCCATGCACACACACATGTACGCACACGGACAACAAGCCGAGTGCAAACCGTAGGGTTGCACCAACACTTTTGAGTCGACTCAAAAGGCATGGCGGCATGGCAGGCGCATGAATGATGGCGACTTGGCTATTCTGCATGTGCAAGCACGGGGATAGGGACTGAGAGAGATGAAGGGTGGAGGGTGGGAGAAAGAAGACATGTGTTAGAGTGAGAAGGCAACGAGAGCAACGTAGACATGAACAATCGAGAAAAGTGAAATCTTGCTTGGCACTCGTATGGCTGCCTTGGATCTGCCATGCCCTCCTGCGATTCCCCACTACTTAACACGCTTGCACTGCTGCCTCCTGTGTGCGCCCGTTCTGCCTCCAACCTCCCCAGCACAGGGGCAGAACCGAGAGCTGTGAAATGAGGGGTGTGTTTTGAGTCGTCTCTCCAATCTCTCCAGCACAAGGGCAGAACTAAGAGCTAAGAGATCAGGGTAAGTGTGTGATTGAGGCTAGAGAGAAGGGGAGTGTCTGTGTGAACCGCGAGGGAAGGGGAGTGCCTGTGTGAACCGGGAGAGATGAGGGTGTGAGGGAGAGGCCGACAAGGGAAGGAAGGCTTGAGGGAGGGCAGGACAAGGTGAAAAAACGGCCGAAATTTTGAAATGTTGACGTATAATACGACATTGTAAGTTTTTATTGTGTTGTGAAAACTGTCGTTTTTTTACGGCCGGACTTTTGAAACCAATTGGTGCGTGCGTGCGTAGCTGTGCGCGCGTGGCGCGGGGCAGCGGGGCGCGCGTCGCGCTGGGCAGGGCAGCGCAAACGCGTGGGGCAGGGCAGCGCACGGCGTGCAGCGCAGTGCAAAGGCGCGGGGCATGGCAGGGCACGGCGAGCAGGGCAGCGCGACGGGTTCAGCAAAAACAGCAGAAAATGCGCCAGCCAGAAATTCCGCGCCAGCAGGAGAAAAAGCCGACATGTATGATGGCGGATTTGGTGAGCCCATCAAAGTAGGTCCTAGGTAGAACCTTGCTCTGATACCATGTTGAAATATCCTTAGTAGGCTATGACTTAGGTTAGGAGAAAGGTGAGCTAGGGAAGTAGTGAGAGAAATCTTGGCCAAGAAAAGAGAGGCTCGCTATAGCATGAGATACAAGATATAGCGAAAGCATAGCAAGTGTGCACCACCAACAATAGGCAGAATGACTACAGTACGATCTAACCGCAAGCAGTTATACAACAGATATATATAATATATCTTGACAGGTGAGGTTGCGTGCAGCAGTATGGGAGTGGGTTGGTTAGACGCGTGGGTTGTACCGTGGGTAGTGTAGTGTGTCGTATAGACATGCTTGCTTACCGTAGTAGCAGGTCAGTATCCCGACAGCAAGCACAGTTGCATGTGAGCAGGCTTTTTGCCCCTCCATTCTCATTTCTTTCCTCTTGACTTGACACCAGCTTTGCTTCATGTACAAGACATGCATGCACGCCACTTGCTATCAGCATCTCTCACCCTCATCCCACTAGCATTGCTCAATGCAGCTATCACATGCCGCGTCGTGGGGAGCGTGTCCCGCACACTAGGCAGGCGGAACGGCACTCGCTGTGTCCTCTCAAACAGCCATGGAGTCAAAACACGCTTGAAATCATCAAAGCTAGTGGCTAGTAGTGCTTCCCAATCCACCTGTTGTGGTTTGGTCGGGGGTGGAGTGGGGTGAAGGAGGATATGCTGATCAACCACCGATTCACGTGCAGAAGCAGAAAGGTGAAAATTAAGGCTCCACCAGCAGCATTTAGAAGCGAGAAGAAAATGATGGATGGATGCAAACATGTTGCTCGAACAGCAGCAATCGGAATGAGACCTGGGAGAGGAAGGAAGAGGCGGTACAGAGTCCTATGCAGCATCGACTCACGAGGAGGTCTCGAGGAACATGCGTAGTGGTTTGCATGTCAGCAGCCATGGAGAGGCCAAGGATGGACATGAGACCCACCATGGCCGACCCGCGAGACAGCGGCATCAGCTGGAACCTGCAGGTCACAGAGAGGGGCGTGTGGACGGGTCGAGGATACACAAGAACAACGGGAGTCATGTCAACAGCCGTGGAGAGGCTGAGGATGGACATGAGACCCACCATGGCCGACCCACGAGACAGCGGCATTAGTCAGCGGCATCAGTCAGTGGCATCAGCGTGCGTGCGTGTGTGTGTGTGTGTGTGTGTGTGTGTGTGTGTGTGTGTGTGTGTGTGTGTGTGTGTGTGTGTGTGTGTGTGTGTGTGTGTGTGTGTGTGTGTGTGTGTGTGTGTGTGTGTGTGTGTGTGTGTGTGTGTGTGTGTGTGTGTGTGTGTGTGTGTGTGTGTGTGTGTGTGTGTGTGTGTGTGTGTGTGTGTGTGTGTGTGTGTGTGTGTGTGTGTGTGTGTGTGTGTGTGTGTGTGTGTGTGTGTGTGTGTGTGTGTGTGTGTGTGTGTGTGTGTGTGTGTGTGTGTGTGTGTGTGTGTGTGTGTGTGTGTGTGTGTGTGTGTGTGTATGTGTGTGTGTGTATGTGTGTGTGTGTGTGTGTGTGTGTGCGTGCGTGCGTGCGTGCGTGCGTGCGTGCGTGCGTGCGTGCGTGCGTGCGTGGGTGTGTGTGTGTGTGTGTGTGTGTGTGTGTGTGTGTGTGTGTGTGTGTGTGTGTGTGTGTGTGTGTGTGTGTGTGTGTGTGTGTGTGTGTGTGTGTGTGTGTGTGTGTGTGTGTGTGTGTGTGTCTGTGTGTGTGTGTGTGTATGTGTGTGTGTGTATGTGTGTGTGTGTGTGTGTGTGTGCGTGCGTGCGTGCGTGCGTGCGTGCGTGCGTGCGTGCGTGCGTGCGTGCGTGCGTGCGTGCGTGCGTGCGTGCGTGCGTGCGTGCGTGTGTGTGTGTGTGTGTGTGTGTGTGTGTGTGTGTGTGTGTGTGTGTGTGTGTGTGTGTGTGTGTGTGTGTGTGTGTGTGTGTGTGTGTGTGTGTGTGTGTGTGTGTGTGTGTGTGTGTGTGTGTGTGTGTGTGTGTGTGTGTGTGTGTGTGTGTGTGTGTGTGTGTGTGTGTGTGTGTGTGTGTGTGTGTGTGTGTGTGTGTGTGTGTGTGTGTGTGTGTGTGTGTGTGTGTGTGTGTGTGTGTGTGTGTGTGTGTGTGTGTGTGTGTGTATCTTTCTTGGGTTGTACTTTAGAGGCGCTTCAATAGCAGGCGATGGCGAGAATCTGATCATGTATGCGCCGCTGGTGATATCCATACGGGTGGCCAGCAGGCAGACCCACCAGTAGTAGGCGATGGCAAGGATCTGATCCTGGATGCGCTGGCAGTACACGTACTTAAGGATGCCCATGTGGCCTGGCTGGTGTGAGGAGGACCCACCAGTAGTAGGCGATGGCGATGATCTGATCCTGGATGCGCTCGCGGTACGCCTGTGGTGACGTGGCCTTGGTGCCGTGGTCCAGTGCAGCCGCCATGAAGCCCTGCCACGCCGCTGTGAGCTCCGAGTCGAATGCATTCCACCGCGTTGAGTCGATGGGGGTCACTGTCTCAAAGTCCACTGCTAAGGGACCGAGGGCGGAGGGAGGGAGGGGAGAACGGGGTGTGTGATGGGATGAGAACTGGTGCGGTGGTCCAGTGCGGCTGTCATGACGCCCTGCCACGCCGCTGTGAGCTCCGAGTCAAATAAATTCCACCGCGCCGCGTCGACTGTCATTGGGGTTCAGCGCGTTGAGTCGATGGGGGTCACTGTGTCAAAGTCCACTGCCAGGGGGCTGGGTGGATGGGGGAGTGTTGATGGGGAGTGTTGATGGGGAGTGGGTGTGGTGGAATGGGGAGAAGAGAGAGGGGAAAGACGTGGTCCAGTGCGGCCTCCATGACGCCCTGCCACGCCGCTGTGACCTCCGAATCAAATGCATTCCACCACGCCGAGTCTACTGTGGTGAACATGTCAGAGTCCCTTGCCAACGGGCTGGAAGAGGGGGGGTTGATGGGTGAATGTGATGTGAATATGAGAGGAGAGTGTGGAGCCGCAGTCTACCTCCCCTGGTGTACTTTGGCGCACGTGTCAAAGCCCCCTGCAAACAAGCTGGGAGAAAAGAGGGTGGAAGATGATGGGGTGGTGATGATGTGATTGGTAGAGGAGAGGAGAAAGGGAACGGGTAAGGAGAAGAGGGCAAGGGGTGGATTCGAGTGTACAGATGTATGTACGGGTGCATGTGTGTTGTGTATATGTCCATGTGTGCATGTGTGCATGGCGTGTGCAAGAACCACACGACTCACCGTTTTTGTAATTTGAACTCTGTGCCGCCCAAATCTTTCCTGCACGGGAGGGTGGGCGGGAAGGGGCAATCAATGAGGATTAAGAGCCAGAACAGGTGCATGCAGCTGGCATGGGAGGTAGGGGGAAGGGTGCAGATGAGAGCATGAAAGCATCTTGAGCGTGAAAGCATCTTGAGCGTGAAAGCATCTTGAGCATGAAAGCATCTTGAGCATAAAAGCATCTTGAGCATGAAAGCATCTTGAGCATGAAAGCATCTTGAGCATGAAAGCATCTTGAGCATGAAAGCATCTTGAGCGTGAAAGCATCTTGAGCATGAAAGAATCTTGAGCATGAAAGCATCTTGAGCATGAAAGCATCTTGAGAATCAAAACATCTTGAGCGTGAAAGCATCTTGAGCGTGAAAGCATCTTGAGCGTGAAAGCATCTTGAGCATGAAAGCATCTTGAGCATGAAAGAATCTTGAGTGTGAAAGCATCTTGAGCATGAAAGCATCTTGAGAGTGATGTGGCGTGCTGTAGCATGGCAGACGCACTAACCCTGGGAATGCCCGGCTGTAGCATGGCAGACGCACGTAGAAGTCCCGGCCAATCACGTTGAAGAGCCCCTTGTGATCCTCCGCTGCTTCCAGCTGTTGGAATGTTCAGAGAATGTTCAGGGAGCGTTGGTAGTAGCACTTTAGTTCCACTGTAAAACGAGTCGCACTGAACAGATGGGGTCCATGGGAGCATAGGGCCAATGCGCCATGGGAGGCATGGCAGGCATGTGAAAGGGTGGTATGGTTGACATGAGAGTACCACCTGGGCGCCGAAGGTGGAGCGAGGCACGTCCAAGGTGGAGCGAGGCACGTCCAAGGGCTGGTGCGAGTCGGCATCAAACGCCCTCTCTGCCTGCAGCAGGCCGCTCCTTGTGACGTTCACCGCCCTGTGAGTGACACAAGGGCAGGGAGGGACGGGAGAGAAAGGGGGGAGGGAAGGGAGGGATGGAAGGCGGAAGGGTGGAGCGAGGCACGCCAAACACCCTCTCTGACTGCAGCAGGCCCCGCATTGTGATGCTCACCGCCCTGTGATGGGGATGGAGGGAGAGAAGGAAGGGCAAGGAAGGAAGGAAGGGCATGGAGGAAAGGAAGAGGGCAGGGAGGAAAGGAAGAGGGCTGGGAGGAAAGGAAGAGGGCAGGGAGGAAAGGAAGAGGGCTGGGAGGACAGGAAGAGGGCTGGGAGGAAAGGAAGAGGGCAGGGAGGAAAGGAAGAGGGCAGGGAGGAAAGGAAGAGGGCTGGGAGGAAAGGAAGAGGGCTGGGAGGAAAGGAAGAGGGCTGGGAGGAAAGGAAGAGGGCTGGGAGGAAAGGAAGAGGGCTGGGAGGAAAGGAAGAGGGCTGGGAGGAAAGGAAGAGGGCTGGGAGGAAAGGAAGAGGGCTGGGAGGAAAGGAAGAGGGCTGGGAGGAAAGAAAGAGGGCTGGGAGGAAAGGAAGAGGGCTGGGAGGAAAGGAAGAGGGCTGGGAGGAAAGGAAGAGGGCTGGGAGGAAAGGAAGAGGGCTGGGAGGAAAGGAAGAGGGCTGGGAGGAAAGGAAGAGGGCAGGGAGGAAAGGAAGAGGGCAGGGAGGACAGGAAGAGGGCTGGGAGGAAAGGAAGAGGGCAGGGAGGAAAGGAAGAGGGCAGGGAGGAAAGGAAGAGGGCTGGGAGGAAAGGAAGAGGGCTGGGAGGAAAGGAAGAGGGCAGGGAGGAAAGGAAGAGGGCAGGGAGGACAGGAAGAGGGCTGGGAGGAAAGGAAGAGGGCAGGGAGGAAAGGAAGAGGGCAGGGAGGAAAGGAAGAGGGCTGGGAGGAAAGGAAGAGGGCTGGGAGGAAAGGAAGAGGGCTGGGAGGAAAGGAAGAGGGCTGGGAGGAAAGGAAGAGGGCTGGGAGGAAAGGAAGAGGGCTGGGAGGAAAGGAAGAGGGCTGGGAGGAAAGGAAGAGGGCTGGGAGGAAAGGAAGAGGGCTGGGAGGAAAGGAAGAGGGCTGGGAGGAAAGAAAGAGGGCTGGGAGGAAAGGAAGAGGGCTGGGAGGAAAGGAAGAGGGCTGGGAGGAAAGGAAGAGGGCTGGGAGGAAAGGAAGAGGGCAGGGAGGCAAGGAAGAGGGCTAGGAGGCGAGGGACAGAAGGGGCATGGGAGGAAAACGGTGGCTTCTGGATTGAATCAAGGTCGCCTCGGCGTCAACCGCCCTCTCTGAGTTCAGCAAACCTTGCCTCGTGACGTTCACTACCCTGTGATGGAAGGGGATGGACGGATAGAACAGGGCAACGATAAGTGTTTATATTCTTGTATAACCAGCCGGGGAATGCTGATGTGAGGTGGGACGACACGGCACAAGGCGACTCGCTTGATTGAGACGGACTGGGTAACAAGGAAGCCACTCACTTGGGATAGACGGTGAGGTAGCGAGCGGTATCCATCACCCAGGAGAAGATGGGTGTGCCGGTGAGACAGCATAGCGCATGCCTTGCTTCCAGCACTGCCTCTGGCTGAACGCCTTCCATGCGATGGGCTTCATGACGTCTGACACCTGTCTCCATACCACCAGTCAGACGCTAAACTCACTTGGGATAGGCGGCGAGGTAGCGAGCGGTGCCCATGACCCATGTGAAGATGGGTGTGCCGGTGCAATACAGCATGTCCTCCGGCCATGCCTGCCCCTGGGCGAACGCCTTCCATGCGACGGTCTCCGTGGCGTCTGACACCTGCCTCCACGCCACCAGCACTCGGAACATGTGGCGCCAGCTGGTCATGAGGTCAGATCGGTCCAACAGACTCTGCCCACCCCCACGGCTGCTGCTGCTGCTGCTGCTGCTGCTGCTGCTGCTGCTACCGCTGCTGCTGCTGTCAGTGCTGCTTTCATCAGTGCCTTCAGCCACGCTGCTGCCACCGCCGCCGCTGCTGCTGCTTTGACGGCTGCGGCCAGTGCGCTGCCCGCCCAGCCTCTGCTGCTGCGCCTCCTCCAGCTGCTCCCGCCACAGCTCCCGCCCCCCACTCGCCCCGTCGGCCGCACCTGCCCCACCGTCCCCATCCCTCGCGTCGGCCCCAAAGAGCAAAGGGGCGATGCGCATCTGATCCGCAATGAGCAGCAGCGTGCGCCTCACCTGCTGCATCACGTCCAGGGCCGCCAGCCCTGCCATGCGCAGCTGAGGGGTGGAGGACGGGGTGGATGGGTTGGTTGGGGTGAGAGGGGAGGAGAGGCAAGGGGCGATGCGCATCTGATCATGTCTAGGGCCGCCAGCCCTGCCATGCGCAGCTGAGGGGTGGGAGGGGAGGATAAGGGAAGAGAAGGAGAGGAGGGATACTGAGTTGCGTGATCACAGGGGCAACGCGGGGAGCAGTTGGTGCTGCTGCAGGCGTTGCATGAACGGACATTGGAACTTGCAACACACTATGCCACTGCTTGTCATACACGTGTGCTTTGAGTCGACTCAAAACTCACCTCACAATCAGTATCATTCTGACTGTGCCATGCCATGCCATGCCATGCCATGCGGGCCTGCTGGGGAGCAGCATGCCATGCCACAACAGACCATGCCACGCCATGACATGCCATGCCATCACATGCTATGCCATGCCATGCCAGGCGCACCTGTTGGGTGTTATGCAGCATGTTATCGGTGTCGTAGTGAGTGCGAGCACCAATCACGTCCGCCGCTTCCACCAGCTGCACTGCCGCCCCTGACAAGCGCGGCAGTCGCTGCCACGTGGCAGCTTGCAACTGGTGCACGGGGATCGCCAGCGGGACGAAGCCCGGCAGCTCCTCCGGCCGCCCCCCCCGTCGCCCACTTGTCCTGGCGCCCATGGGGGGAGAAGAAGGGGTGGGTGAGAGGGAGGTGCACAAGGGGAGGGGTGAGGGGAGAGGGGGGAGGGGAGAGGTGGGGAGGGGAGGGGAAGAGCAGGGAAGAGTGGGGATAATTAGGGGAATTGAGCTGTTCCGTGGGAAAACGGTAAGCTTGATAGAAGAGGTCCACGCTTGCCCGTCAAGCTTGACACAAGGGCAAGCCTTCCATTCCACCACCCCCATCACGTGTCCCTGACGCCTTCCTGTCCACCCTTCTCCATCTCTCACCCTTCTCTCCCTCTCCTGCTCACACTGTTCTCTCGCCCTCGCCCTCTCACCCGCCACTCCTCGTCAAGGTCGTTATTCAAGTCCCCTTCTCCCACCCACGTTTCCCCCTCGCCCTCTCAGCCTGCCCCACTCGCCCGCCACTCCCCGTCAAGGTCATCGTCAATGCGCAAGGCAGAGAAGGGCTGGGCGAGGCGCGACACAGTGTAGGCGAGCCAGCAGGTGGCGTTGAAAGAAAGTCCTGCCTCGGTGTTCTCTCCCTCTCACTCTGTCTCTTCACTCACACGTGCCCTATGTCTCCCACCCTCCACTCCACTCCCACCCCCCACTCTCACCCGCCACTCCTCATCAAGGTCGTCATCAATGCGGAAGGCAGAGAAGGGCTGGTCGAGGCGCGACACCGTGTAGGCCAGCAGGTGGCGCTAAAAGAAGGTCCTGTCGCGGTATGATGTCTGCTCGCCCGGTTGAACGGGTGAGGAGAGCAGCTTGTCGTACAGCCGCATCTGGTGGGGGTGGGGAGGCACGGGGCAGAAGGTGAGTGCATGGGATGACACGGTGTAGGCCAGCAGGTGGCGAGAAGGTTTTGTCGCGGTATGACGATCGCTCGCCGGACGCATCTGGTGGGGTGAGTGTTAGGGAGGGAGGGGAGACGAGCATGTGGCAGACGATGAGTGCATGGCATGTCGTGGTGTGGTATGGTATCGCATGGTATGGCACGGCATAGCATGGCAGGGCATGACGTGATGTGGCGTAGCATTGCTGCATGTGCGGGAGAGGAGAGGAAAGGGAGGTCGCATGACTCACAGCAGCAGCATGCTCACCCAGCATGTGCAGGCTGGACGCCTTAGCGTGCATGACCTCCAGGTCGCCTGGGAATGCCTTGAGCCCCGCGTCTGCCATGGGAATGCCTTGAGCCCCGCGTCTGCCATGGGAATGACTCCACGGCCCAGTCGCACATGCACATGCACATGCACATGCACGCATAACACCACATAGGTGGGCATACATAACACCACATAGGTGGGCACACATAACACCACATAGGTGGGCACACATAACACCACATAGGTGGGCACACATAACACCACATAGGTGGGCATACATAACACCACATAGGTGGGCATACATAACACCACATAGGTGGGCACACATAACACCACATAGGTGGGCACACATAACACCACATAGGTGGGCATACATAACACCACATAGGTGGGCATACATAACACCACATAGGTGGGCATACATAACACCACATAGGTGGGCATACATAACACCACATAGGTGGGCACACATAACACCACATAGGTGGGCACACATAACACCACATAGGTGGGCATACATAACACCACATAGGTGGGCACACCTAACATAACACCACAAAGGTGGGCACACATAACATAACACCACATAGGTGGGCACACATAACACCACATAGGTAGGCACACATAACACCACATAGGTGGGCACACATAACACCACATAGGTGGGCACACATAACATAACACCACATAGGTGGGCATACATAACACCACATAGGTGGGCACACATAACACCACATAGGTGGGCATACATAACACCACACAGGTGGGCATACATAACACCACATAGGTGGGCATACATAACACCACACAGGTGGGCATACATAACACCACATAGGTGGGCATACATAACACCACATAGGTGGGCATACATAACACCACATAGGTGGGCATACATAACACCACATAGGTGGGCATACATAACACCACATAGGTGGGCACACATAACACCACATAGGTGGGCATACATAACACCACATAGGTGGGCAGACATAACACCACATAGGTGGGCACACATAACACCACATAGGTGGGCACACATAACACCACATAGGTGGGCATACATAACACCACATAGGTGGGCATACATAACACCACATAGGTGGGCATACATAACACCACATAGGTGGGCACACATAACACCACATAGGTGGGCACACATAACACCACATAGGTGGGCATACATAACACCACATAGGTGGGCATACATAACACCACATAGGTGGGCACACATAACATAACACCACATAGGTGGGCACACATAACACCACATAGGTGGGCACACATAACACCACATAGGTGGGCACACATAACATAACACCACATAGGTGGGCATACATAACACCACATAGGTGGGCACACATAACACCACATAGGTGGGCATACATAACACCACACAGGTGGGCATACATAACACCACATAGGTGGGCATACATAACACCACACAGGTGGGCATACATAACACCACATAGGTGGGCATACATAACACCACATAGGTGGGCATACATAACACCACATAGGTGGGCATACATAACACCACATAGGTGGGCATACATAACACCACATAGGTGGGCACACATAACACCACATAGGTGGGCACACATAACACCACATAGGTGGGCACACAAAACATCACATAGGTGGGCATACATAACACCACACAGGTGGGCATACATAATACCACATAGGTGGGCATACATAACATCACATAGGTGGGCATACATAACACCACATAGGTGGGCATACATAACACCACATAGGTGGGCATACATAACACCACATAGGTGGGCACACATAACACCACATAGGTGGGCCGGGGAAGAGGAGACGAGACAAGGCATGGGCGAGGCGAGGGAGAGGGAGGGAAAACATACAGAGCATTTCAAAGGTGGAATTTGAGATGAGATGATGGGTGGTGGGTGGTGGGTGGTGGGTGGTGGGTGGTGGGCGGTGGGTGGTGGGTGGTGGGTGGTGGGTGGTGGGCGGTGGGTGGTGGGTGGTGGATGCTCACCAGTGATCTCCCAGCAGTCGCCTCTGCAGCACCAGGTTGTGATGCGTCTCTAGTATCCTGCCATGGATGTCGATTAGTAGTGAGAGAGAGTGAGAGAGAGAGAAAAGGCACTGGCACCTAGCCCTCTTTCTCGGCCCTCGCCCTCTTCCTCTGAGCCTATTTAAGGGTTTAGGGTTCGGGTTTAGGGAGGCTGTGTGGATCAGATCAGGGCAGAGAAGCAAAGAGCAAAGAGGAGCGTAGAAGAGATCCGAATGCCCGAGCTGGAGTGAGAGCAGGAATTTCCTCCCTCCCAGCCTGGTCCGTGTTGACTTTTGAGTCGACTCAAAGTTCAACAGAGTACATACTGTCCGAGCGGGAGGCAGCAAGGGAGGGCGTGAGGATCAAATAGCAGAGAAGAGCAGAGCAGAGCAGGCAGAGTACATACTGTCCGAGCTGGAGCGAGAGCAGGAGGTCCCTCTCAGCCTGGTCGGTCTCCCCCAGCAGGCGGTGCAGGCGCCCCTTCTCCTTGCGCAGGTCCGCATCCAATGGGAGCAGCTCCACCGTCCGAGCCAGGTACGGCTGTGCCGCCCGGAACTGGTTCAACCGCACCAATGCGATTCCCTGGTGGGGAAACGGGGAAAAGTGGGGAAAGAGGGGGGAGAGTGGAGGAGTGGGGAGGAGGAAGAAGTGGGGTATGGGAGGAGGGGAGGGGGGGAAAGGGGCATGGCTGTAGCGGGGAGGCAGTAGGGAGGGCGGCTGGGAGAAGCGGTGCTGAGAGGCACAGGAGGAGAAGGCGGGGGTGTGGCGGAACAATGGCTACAGTGGGATGACCTGGCAGGCAGGCCACCTGGGCTGCGCTGTGCTGGGCTGGACTGCTTGTCTCGAGTCTCACCACGGCTTGGTTGAGGTCGGCGTCGTTCGGCAGCATGTGCAGCGCGGGCAGCAGATCTTTGAGAGAGTCCTTGAAGCGATACAAGTTGAACGCGCTCAGCCCTGCGATACGCAGGTGAAGGGGGAGAGGGGAGAAGGGGGGGGGGAGAGGGGGAGGGGAAGGGGGGAGTTGGGGGGGAAATGGGAAGGAGGAAAGGGGGGCAGCAGGTCTTTGAGGGCGTGCTTGAAGCGGTAACAGTTGAACGCGCTCATCCCTCAAAGGGGGGAGGGGGGTGAAGGAATAAGGTGTTTAGGAGAAATTTCAAAAGCAGGAACTGCTGAAGTCGCTCATTCCTGCACGGGGTTGGGGAGTTGGGGAGGAGAGAGCAGGGAGAGTTGGGACGGTGAGGCACTGAAGTCGGCAGTGGCATTGCCGATGCACGTTCTTCTTGGCACATGCACACCAACCCTGTCAGAACTGAGCTTGAACCGATGCATTATTATTGATCTCAAAGCTCTTTAAGTACATAAGAATAGAGCACGGAATGGATGAAGGAATTGGGGGTGATCCCTAGGGGATCAGGTGCAATCCCAAGACAATCTCCAATTGGTAGGTTGGAGATTGCTTGGTGATCACACTTGAGCTTGGTTGGGATGTGGGTGTACACCCAACCAAGCACAAAGTGCAAACTACATTACTCTAGGATATAAAAGTACAAAAACAAAAGTTGAGATTGAGGTCTAGCTCCAACACATCCACCGCACCACACCACACTACACCACACTTGAAAGCACTGCGCACCTGTTCACCGTGCCTCCCCTCCCCTTTCCCGCGCACCTCGCCGTTTGAGCTCCTCCGCATTCCCTGGTTGCAGCAGCAGGGCACAGCTGAACGCCTCGTGCGCCCTCTCGTGGTGTCCCAGCGCCTCACGCTCCACCCCCACCTCCATCCACAGCTCTGCACTGTCGGGATTGGCGCTCGCTGCCTGCGGGGGAGGAAAGGAGAGGCCAGAGAGCCTCGTGATGAGATTCTTGAATCGGCCAACTCGAAAAACACCTCCATCCTCAACTCTGCACTGCCAGGGTTGGCGCTGACTGCCTGTATGGGAGGAGAAGCCAGAGAAGCACATTTTGTGATAAGATGTGGGTTGCCTGGGGCAGTCACCTCTTTCCACAGCTTTGCACTGCCAGGGTTGGCGCTCACTGCCTGTATGGGAGGAGGGGCAGGGAGCACGCATGCAAAGGCTTAGGGGGAGAGCGCTTCACAGAACGCACTTTGCTGTGGCGCTGTAGATATTTTTCCCCATGCTGCGCCTGCCTCCACCCACAGCCGCGCGTTGATGATAAACTGTTTTTGAGACGTCCCAAAAAACAGTTTGTTTTTCCCACGCTGCGCCTACCTCCATCCACAGCCGCGCGTTGCTGGGGTTGGCGGTCACTGCCTGTGGGGGAGTGAGGGAGGGTGCGCGCAGAGAGAGGCTGAAAGGGCCTGACATGAAGGTATGGTTTGTGTGACAAGGGGGTGACAATACAGAGGGTGCGCAAGAAGCAATAGGGATGTGACAGTAACGAAAGGGAGGACCTGGCTTGTCACGTCCCAACATGTCATGCCAGACATGTCACGCCTAACATGTAAAGCCCGATCGTCATGCGGTGCCAGGGCTTAAAGCCCGATCGACATTCGCTGCCAGGGACAGTGCTATGCCGGTCTGCCCCACATGATGCGGCGCCAGGGGCTTGGGCTCACCTGCTCAAAGTCCGCAACAGCCGGCTCGTGCATGTGCAGCAGCGACTTGGCCATGCCTCTCCCGTGCTGCAGTCGCTCGTACAGCCGCCGCAATAGCCGCTCCGCCTGTGGTGTGGGGCAACGGAGGGCGGTTGGGAGCAACAGAGGAAGGAGGCTTCAAGGGATCTTGTTTCATCTCGCCGCGCTGCGCACCTCGTTGCGCACCTCATTACATCTCGCCTCGAACCTCGTTACATCTCGCCGCTCACCTCGTTACATCTCGCCGCGCACCTCGTTACATCTCGCCTCGCACCTCGTTACATCTCGCCGCGCACCTCGTTACATCTCGCCGCGCACCTCGTTACATCTCGCCTCGCACCTCGTTACATCTCGCCGCTCAGCTCGTCACATCTCGCCGCTCACCTCGTCACATCTCGCTGCTCACCTCGTCGTATGTGGCGACAGCCTCTAAGAGCCGGTCGCCTTCCAGCTGGTCGCGTCCCTCCGCGATTAAAGCCATCATTCGCTCGCTCACGCGCCGCGCCACCTCCGCCTCGCTGCTTTCGCCGCCGCCGCCGCCGCCGCCGCCGCCGCTGCTGCTGTCGCGGCTTACGCTATTGCCATTAATGGTGGAGCTGTTATCATCATCTACAAGCGAGTCGTTGACGGCAACATTAATCCGCCGCGCGTCCCGCTCACGAGAACCGGAGCGACTCGGCACACATGTCTCTTCATTTCCCAGGCAATAACCACCCAACGGCGTTTCTGCCGCAACTTCCGCCGCAACTGACGCTGCCGGATTTAACGCCACGTTTGCCGCCGGATCCAACGCAGGAACGCTAACGCTCTGAATGCCAGGCGCGGTGAGATTAATGGGATTACATCCGTCGTCCGGCTGCTCCGCCTGCAGCCGCGTCGCGTGACTGCCGGCGCATTCGAACGTGCCGATGAGGACAACATCGCGAAAAAGGGCTTGCCATAAAGCTGCGGGAATGTTGCAAAAAGGATACTTTTTGGATACCTTGGTTTTGCAACTTTCCAGTTATGGTCAAATGTTGCAGAAATGCGGATTGCGAAATTCTTGCAAAAAAGTTGCCCTTCCGCAACTTTTCCGCAACTCTCTTGCAACAATCCTGCAAACCTGCAGCCACCATTCCGCAACATTCCGCCCAACTTCAAGTCACTAACAGCCTGCCGTGCAGTTGCGTGCATGTTGCCGAAAGATCACCTCCATGTTGCCACCGATCAGTTACAACACGGCGCCACCGTGGCAACGAGAACCGTACTCGGATCTGATCCCGTACGCTGTAGGCCATGAAACATACACCAACCAGTCTCCAGCACGTGTGTGCTATCTACTGGCACACGGCACGGTAACCCCGCTTCGTCCACCACTTTACTGCATACGCGGACACCTTCGTGCACCACTAGCGCGCATTCGCGAACCTGACAACGCCCAATCCCAGCACGACATCGAACACTACCGCGCGCGTCACGGAGCACACTGTTGGGCCGCATGTTCCGCACACCACCTCCACGCCCAATCAAGCCGCGGTAGAGCGTAACGCAGTGACATCACTGGATGCCGGGATTGGCTCCAACCGCCGTCGCCCGCGTATTTCGCTCCATCGCAACCCCACTGTTTTCCGCACACTCCTCACACGCCACCCAATCAGCGCGCACTCCGAACACTGCCGGTACTTCGCCGCAAAGTTACCCACGCCTCGTACACCCAATGTGCCACTTTGCACACACGCGTCACGCATGCATCCTGGCTTCATCTCAACTAGACGGCGGTATTCGCAGCGTGAATACCAACCGTCGATCCCACCGCTGCGCGCCGTCGTACCACCACCCGATCGCGACACGGTAAGGTATCCGTTTACTGCCGAATTATACACGTTATTGCAAGCTTTGCGCACTGCTTGCGCGCGTATAGCACACCACGTTACGCCACACAAGTATGCGCGCTTACAAGTGATTTATTCAATGTCGCAACACACCACAACATCGCACACATCACACCCGGGTTGCTACACAACACACCGTCGCCAATTACGTCCACACACTACCGCTTGACGCCGTCTTACTACATCCCCACCTCGTCGAACGCTAACCCCACAAACGTATATCCTTCTAACATGCGTGAAATACAAAGAGTGGAAGCCCGTGTCCATGTACAGGGTTTAGGGACGCCTCACTACCAACTTCAGTCAGTGCCCAGAGAAACCGAACCACCGGCTTCCACGATTGGCGCCCTCTGCGCGTAACGGCCTGGAATCAAGTGCTCTAGCCCGCACGAGGACAGCATCAGCCCGTGCTCCCCCCATACCCACGCCTGGGCATCAGCATCGTACTTGGGCTTGAAGTCTTGGATCGCCTGCGCCATTGCCCCCTCGGCGACCTGGTGGAGGCCGTTCACCACCTTCGCGTTGCCACCAGCAGAGTTTGATAGGCGGGCCTTGAGCTTGTCCCAGTTAAGAACCGTGTCGGTAACCTGCGTGAAACAACAAACATATCGCACATACACATCACTCCCGTGCACGGGTGGGCTGAACGGGGATTGAGATGCAACTCACCACATGCTCGAGCCACGCCATCTGGTACAGTTTCACGGTCACCGCTCCCGTGACCTTCTTGGGCTGGAAGGCGGTCACGATACACGCCGTGAACGCTCCCGACGCAAAGATCATTCCAGTCCTGCTCTCGCTCCAGGTTGACAACGTCAGATCTTCTGCCCACACACATGTACAACGTAACACACCGTCAGCTGAGCTACACACAGGAACCCTGGATGTTGACACCCCGCCGCATACCGTTCACGTCGTCCAGCACGCGATACCGAAGCCGGACTTCGGCTGCCTCTCTGCGCTTCTTGCGTGCCCACGGGCTTTTCCTGTCTCGCTCGTTGCGCCATAGGCCAATGCGCGGCAGCGCAATGTCTCGAACGCGGCTTGTCACCTCTGTCTTCCACTGGCTGAGTGCCTTGTTCAGGTCAGCGCATCGCGCCTTGTCGGCCGCCAGTGCGAGCCCCGCATAATTCAACGTCAATCGTGGTGTGACCCAGCATAATCCGAGCGTCTTGTCGTGGCTGCTTGGGTAAAAGGTCATGACATCATTGGCCCGCTCGATGAACAGGAACTCCCGCACATGGTCGCACGTTCTCGGCCATGTCCACGACACGGCACACACCAAGGTTTTTCATAGTACAAGAACGCACAAACAGCAGCGCGGCACACATTAGACCACCCGCGATGCATCTTTTTTAGTATGTGTCCCCATGTCCTAGGGCGCTCACCTTCCATGCTTTGCCGGACGGCAGGAAATCAAATGCCTCCTGAAGTATGGGTGAGCTCGAGACTGTCATCTGGCGCCGCCGGACCACACGGCGTGCCCTCACTGGCTCCGCCTCCGCATCTTCTTCCTCTCCCTCCTCCGATGTCGCGTCCTCCGAGCCCGATTCGACCTGCCTGCGCTTGCGCGGCCGCGCATCTCCTTGCGCCCGTTCCTCCCTCGGACCCCTCGGCCTCTTGTTCTGCGTTTCCCTGTCGTTTATGGCCAGCAGCAGCGCCTCTAGCCGCGCAATCCGGCGCTCGCCCTCGTCTCTCGCCGTCTTCAGCGCCTCGAGGTCGGCGCGGCTAATCACGACGGCGTCATCGGCAACCGTCTCATCCCGACGAGATCCACTTGCCGGCTGCGCAGATGCGCAGGGCATTGCCTCAAAGGGGTTGTCAGCCACTGGTTTAAGCGGAGACGCCGCAGCCTTCCCTTTTGCCGCGCTAGGCTCTTCGGCCATAACGGAGGCAACAGCCTTGGATCGGACAGGCGCAGCCTCCCCTTCGCCATCGCTACCCACATCCTCATCGCCCGCACCGACGCTAGACGCGACCGCCGCATTCGGCGAGACTTGCGATGCACCATGGGCCGCACTAGCCACACCTGAGCGCAATGTTCAAGCAACACATGCGAGTCACATCAGAGAACATGGAAACTCCGTAATGGTGAACATGCACCGAAAGCAGGGCGGCAAAAGCAACGTGACGCAACTGAATCCCCACGCGTTGTACCTTCTACTGGGACACACTTCTGCTTTTCAACCCTAGGCCGCTTGTACTGCCCCGCGTTGCCCCGCACACATTTGACTTCACGTGTTCGATTACCGGTCAACTGATACTCCATTCGCAGATACTCAGGCGGTCGTTTGGGCCTACGCGACCGGCCTGCGGGCAATTCCTCCGACGTCCCCAAAGAAGTCTCCATTCCCGAAAGTCAAACCTAAACAACTTTTGCTACCGCACACCATGTAGTGAAAGTATGGCTGTCACACAAGCGCGGAGCCATTTGTATTCGTTACACAATCTACATGAACCCAACGCCCAAATAGACTACATCATACATAGCTACAAAGTAGGTATCACCTAATCTACTATATCATGAATTGACACAAATTAGGTATCACCTACTCCGGCTACAACAGGCAAACAACTTCACTCCACAATCACTCCATCTTCACCGCCTCTGGATCTTCGTCGAACAACGCCCCCTCAAATGAATCTCCCAGAGCCACCCCCGTCCTAATACCCTCGTCCGCCACACCACCCATCGCTGCAGCAGCGTCCTCATTGAGTTCTGGGGGTGTGCCCCGCCGGGCCGTTCCCTCTGCGTCGCCCAACCCTTCCCCATCCAACTCAATCACCTCATCTCCTTCCTCCACGGCACATCCGGCTGCATCCCCCGCGTCATCGTCTTGCGAGTCAGAGTGCTCATCGCCGTCCCCTGCTGTCTCCTCCTCCGTGCAGTCCACTAGTGCCGTCTCCCACTCCTGCCATCGGAACCACTAACGGCTCCTAACCAGCCGCTTGACAGATGCCAACGTGCACCCCTCAAGCATACCCTTCTCCTCATCCGTCAGCTCCACTGTGCCTGACACGCGCTTACCATCTTTGACCACGTGCACCGCTGCTGCGTACGCCGTGGCAGCCTCCAGCTCCTTATTGTACGCACCTAGCCTCATCTGCGTCCGCTTCTTCTTATTCTTCTCTCGGAACAGAATCTTGGCGCTCCACCTACCGCGCTTCTCCCTGCGCACACCCTTGTACTGTGAACTACGACCCTGTCCCTTACCCTTGCTCTTGCAAGCAGTAGCGCCGCCCTCAGCATCCGCCCCCGACGCATGCGGGTCTTCTCGTTTCCTCTTTGCCGGCATAGCCAGCACCACAGGCCTTGCTCCACATGCATGAGCCACCGCCGGCTCTGCCTGGTGCGTGACATGCATACTTCCCTCTGTGCCATTTATCGACCACCTCGGAGCGGCAGGCACGGGTAGCGCGCAGGGGCTGGGATGAACCACCCCTAGCTCGACTATGCCACTGCCTGCACCGTCCAGTGCTACGCTCTCAGCAGATCCTCCTTTGGAACTGGGGCTGTCGGTAGTGCAAGGCCGCGCTGCTGCACGGGGGTTGGGGGTGGAGGGTGCAGTGGACTGGCTGCCCCCAGGTGTCGCCGCGCCCCCTTCAAAACCTTGCGCCTGCAAGACGTGTGCAGCTCCTGCAAGGAGCTGATCGACACTGTAACCCATCGCCGCTCCGACGGCGGTGACTGCTGCTTTCCAGATCGCAAGATCCCTCTTCATGCCGTAGTGCTCCACCTGCATCCGTGTCAGCTTTGTGTTGTGATCCTCCGCTCCAGAATCCACGACGTCTCCATGCTTAGTGACCCTAGCCGCGGGTTGATTAGGTACGACCACACCCATCTTCACCAGCGCCGGTATAAGGTCAGAAGCCGCATGCATGCATAGGTCGGCCCGCATGCCGCGCCGGAACTCCGTCGCACTGATGCCCTCCAGGTACAGGTACGAGCGCAAATTCTTGAAATCAGTATCCACAAGGACTTTCATATAGTGGCATACAAAAATGCCACAGTCGTGTTTGTTGTCCTGCTGCTGCACCTTATGTTTCTGCACGCACGTTAGAGGCCACAACATGCCGTTACCACATGCTGACATAGTGTGTCAACACATTTCAGTTTGGGGAGCAGGACCCACCTTCATGGGAAGCGGCTTCGCATCTCTCAGTGTGTTCACAAGAGTCGTTGCGTCACACTGAGGGTGTAGGGCCTTGGCGATTAGTTCCAATAATCTGGAACGCAAGAAATCCGGACATTTGGTCACACATTCTCGTAGTGTATTGTCGAATTCACTAACACGGCCACAAAAACATGCAGCAGCTTACCGTTTGACGCCATCAAACACCGTAGGGTCGTCACAGTGCGTGCCATAACTGTCGAGAAGAATCAGTTCCAGAGGTCCAGTCACTTCCTCAGACGTTCCTCCCAGCAGTCGCTTAGGGCACGGAACTATCATAAGCGAGTAGTGTGAGCTGCAACATATCGCATAAAACAGGCACGCGCGTCATATTATTGCAGCGACTCGTGCCACCATGAATGAAAACCAAAGTGTTCAATCAACAGCACGCACCTCTTGAAGACGGGAATGGCCAAGAGGTCAACGTCAAAAACTCTGGACCCGTTGCCCATAGAGTATGGCTTGCCGAAAGTGTTCACGTAGTCGAAAGCCTTGCTGACGACCGCGGCCCAAGTAGTGCCGTTAGGCGTAGTGGGTAGACGGATACTCAGCAGTCTGCGCGCAGTCAGGCGATTGTCCAGTGAGGGAACGGGTGACAATCATGGACACAAGGCAGGCCATGACACATCGCCTTAAAAAAACCGACAAAATCGCTCACACGTTGTGGAAGTCCACGATCGCGTCGGTGACACACTTCCCGTCAGCGATGGTTATGATGTCTGACGCCTCCACGACACAACCAACGCCATCCGCGTTGAACAGCGTCATTTGCTCCATCTGTTGTGGTTGCTTGGCAGTCAGTAAGCGATAGACCAGATCGTGCGGCTCGGGAAGTTCCGTCTCCGTCTCCAGCTTCGTCTGGTACTGCTGGGCTAGGAGTTTGCTGCCGGCCGAATCGATGCCTTCTTTAAGAGTTGTGTTGCCGCTGGTCGATTGCCTCCTTCCGTTACGGAGGGAGCGCGCAATAGCACTGACATCCGTCACGTCTCCATCGCCCCCTGTGTCGCCCTCCTTAGCACCGCGCGTGGACCTGCCCTTGGAAGCACACTGCTTGTCACGGGCGCGCCTAAGAGGAGACATGTCTACGATCGTCGGTCAAGCTCAAGGAAAACAGCGCAAAGGTAATGAGGGAGTATGCTGGAGTGTCCGTCCTATGAAAAGAAGGTTGATTCAACCTCACACTTTAGAGGGGACGTTTTGGCAGGACATCGAGGGTGATAGGGGGCGTTGATGACGTTGTGTGGATCTGAAGTACTTGTGGCGCGAACTCGTAAGTGCATGCCATTTGTCGCGTCACCGTGACATGCACATCATGTCATGGCATGCACTTCGCGTATTCATAATGAACGAATACGATGTACGCACATTGCATTTTGTGCGTGTTCTAGGCTTACGTGATTCCTAGCTGAGTCATTGTCCCGCATGGGATCCGATAACCACAGCCGGCCTAGCCGAGCGGTGTACTCGATGATTTCAACAAATGACTAGGAAATATGTTAGACAGCATGACCTGTATACAAACAGGTCATGCGTTTATTACGTGCACACAGTGAGTGCGGATTTCTTTCGCGCAAAGGTATACTAACTCCGATGACCCAAAGTTAGGGTTTACGGTGGTATCATGGGTGGCAACGTGTGCGGGGGGTGCAGAAAAACGTTTCGTGACGACAACAGGCTGCAGTCGCATTTGGCTAGAAGCGCGGCATGCACGGAGGCGATTCTCGGTCGTGGTAGAGTCCTCCTCGCAGAGGCATATCTGGAGGCCCGCCAGGCGTTTTTCCGCATCCCTGCTCGTACAGCCGCCGCCACTGCCGCCAGCGCTGGCACCAGCGAGAGGATGGCGGAGAAGAGACCAGCAGCTCCTCCACCCCCCTGCAGTGTGTGTTATCGCGGTGGAATTTCTCGGACACTGAGTGGGGCAACCCATTTGGTGCTACTGTCGCGGACATCATGCACGTGCTGGACTCTGGGATGGCGCTGCACTTGCTGGAGAACCACATCGCTGTTCTTTCCAAGCCAGAGAGGCGAGAAGTCGAGAGGTTAGTCGTATTGTAAACCTGGGATATGGGCGGAACATAGAGCAGAATGACGTGAGCACGATGTGAAGTGAATGCATGTGTTTAGGGTTACACAGGGAGGTCCAATGTTAATCCCTGAGAGCACCCCTTCCCGGGCCCTCCACCCCTCCAGGGGCAAGAAGACAACCAAAGGAGAGACACCAAGTATTCTATTGCGTCTACCCGGAGGCAGTTCCTACTTCATGAGTGGGGCCAACTACGCAGCCTTCGAACACCGCAGCATGATGCAAGTGATGCCAATTCTGGTGGCCGACAAGTCTGCGCTGCAAGCAGGAGAGGCGGGAGACCTGGCTGCGCTCCGCGTGCGTGCGTTCAGGATGTACGCAACCTTCTACAAGGCGTTTCTGGGTGTCAGCGGACACACGGACTCCTCTCTCGCCATCGCTTGTGGACACGCCATCAAGTATGGAGTATAATCCGGGCGTAGGTATAGTGGACGTTGCATGCCAATGTTGGCCGCAGAGTTGGGTGCTTGCTGTCACTGACCGCATCTTTGATTTGCGTGTTCTTTTTCCCGACGGGACGTGGCATGATCCACAGGCTGGTCGAGATTTTGCCGCAGGCGTATCCGGATCATGCATCGCATTGGCGCTTTCCAAAGATTCACATGATTGTCCACATGCTGGACAATGTGATCATGCGCGGAATGCCACACCACTACAGCACGGAGATGTGGGAGCATACCCACAAGGGGACGGTCAAGATCCCCGTCAGGGGCAGCAACTGGAAGGACATCCCCCGACGCATCGTGGAGGAGGAGGTGCAGAGAGAGATCTGCAGGGAGGTGTCACAGGACGCGGGTGGCGGGCGTGAGTATGCGACGGCGCTGCGCGAGGTGAGACTGTGCGTAGCATATCCCTTGCATGACCGTATGATCATTGGACACGTCAATACCGCGTGACTTGTCTGCGGACACGATCGCGACATACCCATTGCCTTCCACACCCGCAGGCTGTTGAGACGATGAAGCCCGTGCTCATGAGGAAGGGACTCACAATGCGGCCGGCGGAGGAGGGAGATGCGGTGATGGGTACCTACCGTACGGCACTTGGCGACCTCATGGATGCGCTACCAGGCAGCATGGTGGCTGCCAAGATCACCGCATCTGAGGTCGTGGTGCGTACACATGTGCAAGTGTATCCTCCACCAAGGTTGCCGTTGTTGAGTGCTTAGGCCCCGTATGTGTGCGTATCGAGTATACACCCGATCTTGCTCCTTATCCCAATGCCCCACTCATGCAGGCCCACACCGCGGTGGCGATTCCGCGCACCAAAGGCGGAGCACTGGTCCCCAAGGGGGCGTTCATCAAGGCAAGCCCCAAGGAGAAGTGGTTCACTGACTTTGCATTGAAGTCAGGCAAGAAGGAGGAGTGGTATGCGAAGGCGCTGTGTATTTTCAAGGTAGCGACGATAGAGGGCGACCAGAAGGGGTTTGTGTACGTGCGGTGGTATGAGAGGGCAGGCATATGCCCCCTCACCACCTGCGTGCAGTTGACACCGTCACGCAAGGACACAAGGCACGCAGTGATTGAGGTGGAGAGCATTCTGCGAGTTGTGCACATTTGCCGCTCTTTCAGCAACCCTGCAATGTTGCTGCTGAACAAGTTTCTTCTGTGTGAGTGATTTTGAGGTGGGGGTGTGAGGAGGCGTTTGAGGGTTGTGGTGTGCATATGCTGCTGTTATTTTCACAGCTGGCTACTCAAACTGTAGACTTACACGCCCTAGTCGCATGATGAAAGACGGGTTGTCACTTGGGCGATCTAGAGACCGACACATAGAGCGCCATGACCGCAACTGTAGTGCCGTGGTGTCTACGTGCTTATGCGATCTTTGTAGCTGTTATTTGAACACTCTAGTTTCTTTGAATGGTGAGTGTACTTAACTTATGCGAGACGATGGGGTATGCTGTATTGCGCACTGAATGAAACTGCAAACCCCCCTAGGGGGCGTGGTTTGGTGTTGCAAGTTACAGGTACGTGGCACGCCCGCGTTCCGGCGAGAGACGGAGTCACGGTTGGGGCGTGGGTGTAATCAGAAAGACGCACAACCATTGGTGCGCAGGTTCGTATCATTGGTGGACACTATGGGGGGGTGTACCAAGTGCGATTGCTTTCTGGGTACGGGGTTCCAATGGTATGCTGATGTGGCACAAGTGTGGCCTCACTTGTTAATACAGCAAGAACCGCGAAGCACAAAGAAATCCATGCACTTGCCGGGATTGTGTTTCACCCAGCGTTGCAGCATACTTGTTTGAAGAAATGGCGTCCCTGGTATCCCTCCTTGAGGCACTGAATGCACCGCCCGAAAAGGTGTTCACTTTCACGGAGTTTCCGTTAATCCCCACACGGGTGCCGTTAGGCACGTCTGTGGACGAGCGTGAGCAGCTGTTGCGGGAATGGCAAATGCCCGTATGCTTTGTGTACAACGCGACAGGATGTGTCCGCAAACCGCCGATCGTTGTTCTACGACGGGAAGACAAGAGGCCAGTACATGAGGGGCGCAAGAAGAATCATGACGTGAAAGTGCGCTACGCCAAGAATGGGCGCTTTTCTAGCGAGGTGAGCGGGTTCAAAGCTGGGGTTTGTAGGTTGATCGTCGTTGTTTATGAGGTGCAATTTTGGTGGCCGTCGTTCTGTACTCATGTCGTCACCACGGACATCTGCCGTGTTGCGTGCGCAGTTGTTCACTGAGTTCGTCAACGAGTTAAACGGGGAGTTGCATGCGAAGAACGAGAAGGCGGTGGTGCTTGTGCACAACCCTTCGCACACCCTCACCGGGTGTGTGAAACGGACAAGCACGGTGGAGGGGTTTGTCGTGGAGGAGTTGACACGGGTGAAAGTTGTGCAGACATTTGGCGTGATGCCGGCTGCTGCGTTTTCTGCGATAAATGGTGTTGTGGACACATTGAAGGCAGTTTTCCGGACGTGGTTTCTACGAACGGCAGTCACGAGCACGGAGTGGACCCGTGCGGGCATTTTTCCACGGCCGCCGCTGCACGAAGTCCTGTACAAGCTGTTCATGGCGTGCAAGTTGACGATGCCGAGGACAATCCAGAGGAGTTGGTGGCGGGCCGGTAGCGTGCCGAAGGGCTGGCTGTCGCGGATGGACAGCTTGAAAGGGAAAGCTGCGGCAGGGATGTTTGACGGTCTGGTGCTGCAGTTGACGAGTCTGCAGCTGGTGATTGAAGAGTTCAAAGGCAAGTGCAGCAGTACGGTGTTTATGACGGCGTGGGATTTCGTGGGGTGTGACGAAGGCCTTATTGAGAAGTGGGCGCCAGCGAGGGTTTTGGAGGACGAGTCCGAGGATGAGATTCCGGCATATTTTTGCATTCCGGAGGGGCCGCTAATGCGAGACAGCCGTAGCTGTCGCCGCGTGAGCCGCATGGTCCATGATGGTTTCGTGAAGCAGGCGGAGGCATTGGGTATTCCACTGCGCGACGTGCCAGAGGAGGCCGGAGTGGTGAATGAGGAGGTGGTGAGCCGCCTTCGACGCACGCCCACTAAGCGCAACCGGACGGGCCGCTCTAGTGATGAGGGGATCGCGTCTGACGCGTCGGATGAGGCACGCCAATCCCGGAAGGCGGGGGTGCTGTTCCCAGTGGAGGATGACAAAGAGAGCGTCGTACGCTTGGTCTAGGGCTATAGGGTGGCTATGCTTTATCATTGTGGTATGGGGGGGCTGAACATAGGGAGCACTATGCGACGGTGGCGTCACAATGTTTCAGCTAATGTGTGTGTACGGATTGCATGAGCTGTGAATTAGGCGATATTATTTCCATGTGTTGTGTTTGCTACTCAATAACGAATACACTTCTGTATCACGTGTGTTGCTTTGACGGTTAGCGTTTAGTAGTTTGGGGATAGGCTGCAAACCCTAAGGGGATCGTTCTCGCGGCAGTGTACAAACACATAACGCAAAACACAAGCGAGTGTTCCTTGTATGCGGTGCCAAGGTGTGCTTTTTCATCGAACCGCGTCTGCCAATGTGCGAGATTTCCCGAGCCGCTCTGGAATTTGGACGTTCCGAAGCGCAAACCGCCCGGCATCCGGCTGCCTTTCTCAGTGTGCGGGACTTAGTGGCATTTTGGGTAAGATGCAATTTCGGGTTGTTGTTTTTCGGATACTTTTCTGCAGCTTTTGTGCAACTTTCCTGCAACTCTGAGACTTTAACTCGAAAATTGGCCAAACCCTTTTTCGCGATGAACCATTGCCGCCCAAGCTATTAAACTCTTGCTCAACGACCGAGTCCGGCCGCGGCCATGCGACGGAAACGCCATTTTGCGGACGAAACGTCTTATAGGGCTTTGACTCCGGCTCAGATGTCGTCGCGCGCATCGGCGATACAAGCGAGGCGGCTCGAACGATATTTCCAGAGAATGAGAACGAGCAGTCGACCAACGAACCACAAAGCAACGAAGAATGGTAAGAGTGAGGAATTTTCTTGACGCGAGCTCTAGAACTTCTACTCGACGCGAGAGGAAAGGGAGTCCACTCAGTGCTCAACTGGAGCGAATACATGCGCTGAGGCTGCTTCGTACAGATAGAGCCGACATAACTTGAGAATGTACGTATGGGAGGGAAGGTCATTTGTGTGGTCTCCTCCTTCCCAGGGGGTCTGTCTCCACCGTCGACCGCCATGCTTCTGCAATGGGAGTGTAACAGGACGGAATTCACCATGCGAGATGCATGGGAATTTCCGAACGGGTCCTTGCCTAGCTACCTATGAACTGCACCACTTGCTAGCCTAGAACGTACTCCCGTATCCCTGTCAGGAAGAATAGTACAGCAGGGCATGGCATCGAGGCGCTATGCCAAGATGCCATGCTAGATTGAGTGGCGATGCGGTTTTCCTCCCAAGTCGCCATCTCTCTTCCTAGCATAAATATCTCGTCCTAGTTCTTGTTGTATGATCCTTAATTCTGGAATCTACTTTCTACTTCTTCATCTCTCATCTAAGACTCCAGAGTTAGGCATCTCTCACTAGCCTAGCTTCTTCTCTATTCCGCTGCGATTACTCTTCCTCTCTTCTTCTAGCTACGGCGCCACCTTCGCCTTGGCAGGCTCGGCCACCTTCGCCTTGGCAGGCTCGGCCACCTCGACTAACGTGGTTGCGCGCCGTAGCCTTGTTTCAGGGAGTGACTGTGAGAATAAGCGAACAGGAATGAATGAACTAGCAGTGAAAATGAGTACAAGTAGGAAACCCTAGAATTGTGTACCCCCTATAGGCTAACCCACTGTAGCCTACACAAGCATAACATATATAATGTTTGACACACCCCCATAGGCAAAGTGGGGGAGAACAAGGGGTCACAAGACCAGTCAAGCAAAGCAAAGCAAGCTCAGGGTGGATCACAAAGTCACCACACAGTCCGAGCACAAGAGCAGGGCCAGAGGCCAGTTCACATGCAGGAGTACAGACATATATATAAAACTAGACAAGCAAGAGCAGGTATATATATATGTCACAGTACAAGTGAAGTCAAGAGGAGAGCAAGTGAGGCAAGACAGGTACAAGACCCAGCTAGGTGCAAAAGCGCTGATGGTCACAAGGCGCGAGTGCCTTGGTGAACACATCAGCAGTGTTGGCCTCAGAGGCCACGTACGCAAGTCGCAACTGACCACGCTGCTGCAGCTCACGAGCAAGGAAGTAGCGGAGAGCAATGTGCTTCGTTCTGTGCTCCAAGCGCTGCTCTCGACACAAGGCCAGCATGGCCTTGTTGTCTACGTATAGCACTGGAGGAGAACGAGGCGGCTCTCCAAGGTCAGTCAGCAGGTAGGTGAGCCAGCGAAGCTCCTGTGCAGCCATGGCCCCGGCGTAGATCTCAGCCTCACAACTGGAGCCGAGAACCGAAGACGAGCGAGTAGACCGCCACGAGACAGAGCCGGAACCAAGGCTGAAGGTGTAACCCTGTGACGACCGCTGCGTAGCCTGGTCGTCAGCCCAAGAAGCGTCCGCGTGGCCGGTAAGGACCACTGGACTCCGCCCTCCAAGCACAAGCCCCATGCCCGACGTACTGCACAGGTAGCGCAATACCCTCTTCGCTGCAGCCATGTGCTCTGGTCTGTGTCTCCCAGGAGCAACATAGCGTGCAAGAATGCTCAGAGGGTATGCAAGGTCAGGTCGTGTGCAGGTCATCAGGTACATGAGGCAGCCAACAAGCTCTGCATACGGACCACTCGACTCTACGGACTCATCCGAAGGCAGAGCTGAGAGTGAGTGGCGAGTAGGCAGAGGAGTGGCCTGAGGCGAGGAGTACGTGAAGCCGAAGCGCTGAAGGACCTGCTGCACCATGTGTGACTGAGTCAAGGTAATGGTGCGGCGTGCTCTGTCCCGAGTGATCTGCAAGCCAAGGTAGCTGCGCAGTTCACCCAGGTCTGTGCACGTGTGTCTCTTCAGCAGTTCGGACTTCACGTAGGCGAGTCCAGCAGTGTCCGCTGTGGCAAAGACCAAGTCGTCGACGTACACGAGGATGTAGAACGGCGGCAGTGAAGTGTCGGTGCGCAGAAACAGCGACGGGTCAGCAGTAGAAGGAGCAAACCCAAGAGCCGCAAGCGTAGTCCTCAGTGTGTCGTGCCACTCACGCGGTGCCTGGCGGAGACCGTAGACTGGCCGTCGGAGGCTCCACTGGGTGCCAGGAGGGAAAGTCCCAGTGAAGCCAGGTGGACGGCGAAGCCAGATCTCCTCGTGCAGGCTACCCTGCAGGAACGCAGTGCTGAAGTCGAGAGAGTGAAGCTCGTAGTCGCGCTGAGCGGCTATGTGCAGCAGCACCCGAAGAGTAGTCATCTTCGGGGTGGGAGAGAAGGTCTGAAAGTAGTCAACTCCCTGCCGCTGACTGAAGCCACGAGCAACGTACCGCGCCTTGAAGACAGGTGGAGAGCCCGGCGGCCGCTTCACCCGGAAGATCCACATGCCACTGACGATGTTCGCCCCAGGAGGGGGAACTGCGTCAACGTAGGTGCCTGTGGACTTCCAGGAAGCCATCTCTGCATCCATAGCTGCCTGCCACTGAGAGGAGTAGGGACCCTCTACGGCCTCCGCGTAAGAACGCGGAGTCGGGATGTCTAGTGCATCCGGGTCTCCCTCAGGGGCAAGCAGTACAGACGCGAGATGAGGTGAAGCAGCCGCTAGACACTGTAACTCCTCCTGTCTGTCCTCTAGGACGTCCGTGCCAAGAGCACACTCACCCCCGACGGACGGAGGACAGACAGACGCAGACTCAGCAACAAGACCAGCAGCGTAGTCGAGACGACAGCGAGCAGCAAAGTCAACGAGCTCAGCGACTAGAGCAGACGCAGCAGTGGACTCAAAAGAGGGGTCAGTGACGACAGTAGCAAGCAGACGCGTGACAGTAGGACTGGCAGCGCGAAGAGAGTCCGACTCAGGGTCGGCAAGCGCAGGAAGAGAGGACTCAGGAGGAGAAGGCAAAGGGGCACGCAGAGGAGCAGTGGACGGACGCAGAGACATCCGGTGCGTGCCAGGGACAGGAGGAGGACGCTGACGCGAACCGCGACCACTAGCGCGAGCAGCACGAACAGGCGACGCGGGACGAGACGCAGGCTCACGACGCTCAGCAAGACCTCCAGTAGGACCAGTGTAAGGAGAGGGAGCAGGCAGAGGAGAGGAAGGCTCCAACAGTGACTGCGACTGGACAGGCTGTGGACACTCTACCGAAGGAGAAAGACCAAGAACCTGCTGTAGGAGCGGAACGAAGTACGGCCGAGGCCGCGCGGCAGCTCCAGACTCAGCAGGGACAGCACCAGCACCCTCAGCGACAGCACCAGCGCCACCAACACCTCCAGCGGCAGGACCTCCAGCAGCACCAGCAGCAGAACCACCGCCAGGACAGACAGCAGTAGTCTCAGAACCAACACCCTCAGCAGCTCCAGCTCCAGTAGGACCCACAGGCCCAGCAGCTCCGGGACCGGCAGCACCAGCACCCTCGACGGTCGACGAAGCTCCAGCTCCAGCAGCACTCCTCCAGCGGCGAGCAAACCACTCGCGCAGCTCCTGTGGAGAGAGGGGCTCCCGGCGAGACGCAGCAGCAGGAGAAACCCCAGGCTCAGCAGCTCCAGACTCAGCACCCCCAGGCACAGCAGCTCCAGACGTAGCACCCCCAGGCTCAGCAGCTCCAGACTCAGCACCTCCAGGCTCAGCAGCTCCAGACTCAGCACCCCAAGGCTCAGTAGCTCCAGCTCCTGTAGGACCCGCAGGCCCAGCAGCTCCGGGACCGGCAGCACCCGCAGCAGGCGAAGAAGCTCCAGCTCCAGCAGCACGCCTCCAGCGGCGAGCAAACCACTCGCGTAGCTCCTGTGGAGAGAGCGGCTCCCGCCGAGACGGAAGAACTGGAGAGCCCCCAGGTCCAGCAGGCGCAGGCTCCGCACCTCCAGGCCCAGCACCCCCAGGCTCAGCAGCTCCTGACGTAGCACCCTCCGGCTCAGCACCCCCCGGCTCAGCACCCCCAGACTCAGCACCCCCCGGCCTCGCACCCCCAGGCTCAGCACCCCCAGGCTCAGCACTCCCAGCAGCAGCACCAGACTCAGCAGCAACCTCGACTGGCTCGACCGTGTCTACCTGGGACACACCCGAAGGGGCAGGAACCTGAGGGGGGAGGGGGTCTACCGGGGGGGGAACTGGTACCAGGAAGTCCGGTGGGGGGGGAAGGGAAGGAGTACGGTAGGGGAAGAGGCGGTAGAAGGGGACTGACTCGTCGAACGTGACGTCCTGGGAGGACAGAACACGACGAGAGGAGGGGTGGTAGAACTGCCACCCTGGAGCGTCAGGGGGGAAGCCAAGGAAGATACAGGGAGCAGCACGGGGGGACAGCTTGTCCGCAGACAAGTCGCGGACAAACGCCCGAGATCCCCAGACACGGAACGCAGACGCATCGCCGACCTTCCCCGTCCACAGTAACACTGGGGACATCGCGGGCCGAGAGACCCTGGGGTGAAGGTTGAGCTGATGCGCCGCGTACCGAACCGCAAACGGCCACAGAAAATGGGGGGCAGCCGCATGCATCATGGACGTACGAGTGACATCCATGACCATGCCAATGCGGCGCTCAGCAATCCCATTTTGCTGTGGAGAGTCCGGAAGCGAAAAGGTCTGGCGGATCCCCTGTGCACGACAGTAGTCTCGCAGAAGGCGAGAGGAGAACTCCCCACCTCGGTCAGAGTGCAGACGCAGAACAGGAAAGTCCGAGCCGAAGCTCCTCCTGAGCTTGAGACGAGCCTCGCGGATCCAGTCGATCAGCACCTCAGTGACAGCACCCTTGCTGCGCAAGGGGAAGACTGAGGTGTAACGCGAGTAGTCGTCAACCACCAACAGGAAGTAGCGCTCGTGACCCTGCCCACGGACGGGGGCCGGGCCCCACACGTCCATGTGAAGCGTCTGCAGAGGAGCCTCTGTCGGGGGAAACTGGGAGGAGTGAGGAGCAGCCCTGAGGCGCCCCTCGACACAGGGGACACAGGAAGGTCCTGGTCCCGAAGGAAGGGGAGGGAGAGACTGGGGAAGACCAGAGACAAGGACACGGGAAGCCATGCCCCGAAGACGGGGCAAGGAGGGGTGGCCTAGACGGTGGTGCCACAGAAGAGTCTCGTGAGACAGGAGGCGACACGAACAGGGGGCAGACTCAGGACCAGACCTGGACGCAGCAGCAAACACCTGACCCGACGCTGCTACCTGACCGGACGCGGGGACAGGAGGAGACTCAGTGGTCAGGATGTAGAGGCTCGACCCCGGCCGACGCGAGAACGTGGCCAGGTGCCGGCCTGTGCGTGCGTCCGTGCAGTGGGTCACCCGCTGACTCGCAGGAGTGAACTGGTGAACCCCCGCATCCTGTAGGTCGGCACCACTCACCAAGTTCGTCGAGAACGAGGGGAGGTACAGGCCAGACAGGGTGCCCGAGGGGGCAGCCGGACACGGGAGGACAGTGGAGAAGTGAGCGAGGACAGGACCCCCAGAGGGGTCAGCCAGGGAGACTGCAACCGGCCGACCAAGCGGCGTGAGTGTGGTGCGGTCCCGAAAGAAGGAGCGAGAAGCCCCAGAGTCAAGTGTAAAGGTGAGGGAGGCCGAAGCCAACGCGGTACCTGAGAGCGCAGCCTCACCCGCACCTGAGGAAGCAGACTCACTAGCACCTAGAGCAGCAACCGCACCTGTACCTGGAGCAGGAGACTCACTAGCACCCAGAGCAGCAGCCTCACCAGTAGCTAGAGCAGCAGGTCCTATACCTGGGTCAGGCGGGACGCACAGGTGACCGGCACGGTCAGCACTAGTAGGCAATGCATACATGGCAGTGAGAATAGCATCATAGTCAAGAGCATATATATCTACCCTCTGCCTAAGCAACTCCACCCAGTCAGGAAGCTCAGCCTCGTCGCCAAACACGGTACGCCAGGCGTCGCTCAGACGGGCGAAGCAGCGGGACGGTGTATGACTACGTGTCCCACAAGGCTGACCAGTCCGAGTACCAGTGCGAATCACGTAAGAGCAGCGAACAGCACTGAGAGACCCTCCACTCTGAGCGTACCACTCACAAAGCTGGCGAGGCGTGAGAGACACGCGAGAGGGTCGCGGGAGCTGCATCTGGCCGCCACCATGAGTAGAAGCAGCAGGAGTGGTAGTAGGAGTAGCGTCGCCACCCCTACAGCCCCAACCAGCGTACCACTCACGCAGCTGCTGGGGCGTGAGGGACTCACGCCGGCGTCGCTGGGGCTGCATTTGGCTCCGCAAGTAGAAGCAGGAGCAGGACTAGCAGCAGGGAGGCAGGCAGCCAGGCAAGCCAAAAGGCAGGCAGGCAGGCAAGTAGGCGACGCGCAGCGTGCTAGTAGGGCAAGAGCTCACCAGTGGTGGGAAGAGTAGGCTCGGCGACTCAGCGGCTCGGCAGCTCGGCGGCTCGGCGGCTCGGGCGACTCGAGCGGCTCGGCGGCAAGGCGGCTCGGCAGCAACTGCAGCTCAGCAGCTCGGTGACTCGGCGGCTCGGCGGCAGGGCGGCTCGGCAGCAACTGCAGCTCAGCAGCTCAGCGACCCGGCGGCTCGGCGGCAGGGCGGCTCGGCTGCTGGGCGGCTCGGGTGCAGGGCGGCTCGGCGGTGGGGCGGCTCGGCTGCTGCAGTGGGAGATGAAGGAGGAGGAGAAGCAGGGGAGGCCACACACCTGCCACCCCTCTGCTGCCCCGAAGGAGCCGCGACGGGCGACGGGAAAAGGGGGGGTGGGTGGTGGGGGCCGGTAGGTGCAGCGGCGGGGCCAGCAGGTGCAGTTGCGGGGCCGGTAGAAGGGGACGGCAGGAGCCGTCAGGAGGGGACGGCGGGGCCGTCAGGAAGGGACGGCGGGGCCGTCACGAAGGGACGGCGGGGCCGTCAGGAGGTGACCGGGCCGCGACGGGGGCAGGCGGCGGGGCCGCGTAAGGGCCTGGGCGGGGCCGCGACAGAGTCGTCGGCGGGGCCGCGTGAAAGCCGGGGCGGGGCCGCGTAGAAGCCGGGGCGGGGCCGCGCGAGAGCAGGCGGCGGGGCCGCGAAGGAGCCGGGGCGGGGCCGCGTGAGAGCAGGCGGCGGAGCCGCGTAAGGGCCTGGGCGGGGCCGCGACAAAGCCGTCGGCGGGGCCGCGTGAAAGCCGGGGCGGGGCCGCGTAGAAGCCGGGGCGGGGCCGCGCGAGAGCAGGCGGCGGGGCCGCGAAGGAGCTGGGGCGGGGCCGCGTGAGAGCAGGCGGCGGAGCCGCGTAAGGGCCTGGGCGGGGCCGCGACAAAGCCGTCGGCGGGGCCGCGTGAAAGCCGGGGCGGGGCCGCGTAGAAGCCGGGGCGGGGCCGCGCGAGAGCAGGCAGCGGGGCCGCGAAGGAGCCGGGGCGGGGCCGCGTGAGAGCAGGCGGCGGGGCCGCGACAGAGAGGGCGGCGGGGCCGCGTCAGTGAAGGCGGCGGGGCCGCAGGGGAAATGGCGACCCGAGGGGTCGCTAAAAAAAAAGATCGCGCCTCGGGGGGCGCTTCGGTGGGCCCAAAAAAACGGTCCGTAGAAGGACCCGCTCTATACCATGTGAGAATAAGCGAACAGGAATGAATGAACTAGCAGTGAAAATGAGTACAAGTAGGAAACCCTAGAATTGTGTACCCCCTATAGGCTAACCCACTGTAGCCTACACAAGCATAACATATATAATGTTTGACAGTGACTGCAGGCGATTTCGTTGTTTTCAGGGCTTACCAACTAGGCGTAAGCGGTGAAGGACACATATTTGTGCGGCAAGACGGTCACCCTCTCGCCTGAGAATGCGATCTGAGATGGGCAGTGAAGTGAGGGACCGATGATGATGATGTTATGTGACTGACTCGTCGGCGGCAACCTCCCTGACGAGCCTCCAAACTTCCCATTGGTGGCTGCCTGGACCTCGAGTGTTGCGCTGCTGCTTTCCATTATTCCCCACTGGGGTCGTCGACGTGATTTTAGAAAGGTGGAGAAAGACTTTGTAGGACTACGAACGGTAATTTAGGAACATGGCGGGATTATGAGGTGATAAAGGATCGTCTCGTCTCCTTGCAGCAGGAATGCTCACCTCGCCGCGAATTTCCAGCGTGGGCTGCTGTCGTCGTTCGCCGACACCTCTGCTGCTACGACGTGCGGACTTGTCGTCACTCTCGGCAAGCTCAAAGTGGATATCCTTGATAGTGGTACGGAGATGCATTTATTGAGACTTTAACACAATTGAGTACGGTCAATATTATATATATGTGAGGTTGTTTAGTTAGTATTGTGCTAATTGCTTAACATTGTTGAAGAATGTAACAAAACTTTTATATCTAAGTTTTAAGGCATAAAAAAATGTCTAATTCTTGTGTTGAATGATCTATTTTTAGCGAGAGTGAGTGAGCCAGACCAAGAGAGTGAAGATAGAGGGAGGGCGAGGAGAGAGGGCGAGCATTCAAGCATGGACTAGGCAAAGCCAGAGACAAACGGACTCTGAAAGAGAGGGCCCGGGAAGGGAGGCGGAGAGGTGGAGAGGCGGGCAGGCAGGCAGGCAGCCGGGGTAGCACGGTTAGGCACAACTTCGTATATACAGTTGTGTTGAAGAATCTCAAACAGCACGCACTTACTGCCCCTGCCAAGAGCACAAGGTTTCCCTGCTGCGTAATGATGACCAGATGGCACATGGCGCATACATGCCTACATGCGAGGAGCTGCGCATGCATTGGGGTGTGGGTTGCGGAGGGAAGGGAGATGGGTGAAAGGGGGGATGAATGAAAAGGGATGGGTGAAAGGAAGTGGGTGGAAGGGGGATGGACGGAAGTGGGATGGACAGAAGGGTGTTGAGTTCGGATCACATGGAGCAGAGGGGAGACGAGCAACATGCAAGTGTCTGTGAGAAGGAAAGAGGCACAGCAAAGGCATGGGAGGGCGTGGGAGGCTGTGGGAGGCTTCGGGGTGCCGAGGGGGGGCGAGGGAGGGCAAGGGGGGGCGAGGGAGGGCGAGGGGGGGCGAGGGGGGGCGAGGGAGGGCGAGGGGGGGCGAGGGGGAGCGTGGAGGGGAGAGAGAGGGCGAGCCGGGGCGAGGGGGGGCGAGAGAGGGCGAAGGGGGGCGAGGGGGAGCGAAAGAGGGCGAGGGAGGGCGTGGGAGGTCGCGGAAGGGCGTGGAAGGGTGTGAGGCGATGGTACCTCCGCCAATGGTGGCCTCAGGCATTCGCTCAATGGAGTACTTGCGCTGCGTTATGTACATTATGGGCACTCCCGGCACCTGCGAGGCGGGGGGGGAGGGGGTGGGCGGGGGGGGAGAGAAGGGGGCGGGATGATCATGCTGTAGCCGCCTCAAGCATGAAACGATGGAGTGCTTGCGCAGCGGTATGTACATTATGGGCACTCCCGGCACCTGATGATTGAGGAAAGGGGGGAAATGAGGAGGGCGGAGAGGAGGTTGGGGAGGGAAGATGGCCAATGCACAGGTTACACACACTACGGGCACACTTGGCACCTGCAAGGAGAGGGTTGGAAAGGGGAGGAGGGGCGGGAAAGAGAATGCCAATGCACATGTTACGTACATGATTTGCGCCGGAGTAGGTGTGTGTGCGTGCATGTTGAACGAAATAAGTGTGTGTATGTGTGCATGTGGGCGTGCATGCGTTTTCACCAAATAAATTGTGTATATGTATGTGCGCATGCGGGTGGAGTAGGTGTGTGTGCATTCGTGTTCACCGGAAAAACGTGTGTACGTGTGCATGTGGCCGGCGTAGGTGTGTGTGCGTGTGTGCGTGAGTAGGTGTGTGTGTGTGTGGCGCGTGTGCGAGTGAGTAGGTGTGTGCGTGCGTGCGTGCGTGCGTGCGTGCGTGCGTGCGAGCGTGCGTGTGTGTCCGTGTGCATGCATGTGTGTGTGTGTGTGTGTGTGTGTGTGTGTGTGTGTGTGTGTGTGTGTGTGTGTGTGTGTGTGTGTGTGTGTGTGTGTGTGTGTGTGTGTGTGGCGGAGTAGATGTGTGCATGTGAGCGCCTGAGCGCACGAGCTCTCACCTTGCGGATGCGGCGCTTGAGGTCACGATCGCACGTGGCCACGATGTAGCACTTGTGCTGCGCAGCACACAGCGAAAGAAAGGACACGTGGGCAAGGGAGAGAGGGGAGGGGCACGAGGGCACGGAAAAAGGAGCAGGGAGAAGAGGACAGGAGCATGGGTGCAGGAAAAAGGGGCCAGGGGGGAAATGGGAAGAACAAGAAGGTTGGGAGGTAGGTGGGGACACAGCAGGGACTGGTGCTGCACAATACGGAAGTGGAACGCGTAACAGGTAAGAGCGGATAAACACAAAAGCGGATGGGCTTAGGGAGGAGAAGCAAGAAACAAGGCCAAGGAGGGTTGACGCCATACATGCCAGGATGGGGAGATGAGGGGAAGGTGTGGCAGTAGGGGTGACAAGCGATGGTGATAAAGCACACAAGAGACATGATGGTGCAGGTGTAGCTTGCGACAGCAGCAGTCATGGCGAGAAGGGACAGCCGCCGTGTGATAAAAAGAGCAGACAGCCAGCAGTCATTTACCACCTGAGTGGGCGTCTGTCTGTGGCAGTGGGCGTCTGTCTGTGGCAGTGGGCAGTCATAACATAACTCATGCGCACCTGAGTGACTCGCTGCACGAGGCAGTCGTCTGCATAGGTGCCTGCATGGCTGCATGGCAGGCGGAGAAACGACGGTGACTTGGCTATTCTGCATGTGCAGGCACAACGGGATAGGGGGAAGAGGGAGGGAGGGAGAGAGCAAGGTGGAGGGTGGGAAGGAAAACATGTGTTAGAGAATGTGAGGGCCACAAGTACAGCGCAACTCGACACACTCGCACTGCTGCCTCCTGTGTGCGGCCACTCAGCAGAACAGAGAGCTGAAAGATGAGGACGAGAGTGTGATTGAGGCGCGAGAGATGAGGATGTGACGGAGAGGAAGTTGGAAAGAGGGCAGGAGCGAGGGCAGGGAGGAGGGCAGGAGGGAGGGGAGGCACCTGAGCGCCACTCGGTACATCTGACCCGCCTGAGCGCCACTCGGTACATCTGACCCACCTGAGCGCCACTCGGTACATCTGACCCACCTGAGCGCCACTCGGTACATCTGACCCACCTGAGCGCCACTCGGTACATCTGATCCACCTGAGCGCCACTCGGTACATCTGACCCACCTGAGCGCCACTCGGTACATCTGACCCACCTGAGCGCCACTCGGTACATCTGACCCACCTGAGCGCCACTCGGTACATCTGACCCACCTGAGCGCCACTCGGTACATCTGACCCACCTGAGCGCCACTCGGTACATCTGACCCACCTGAGCGCCACTCGGTACATCTGACCCACCTGAGCGCCACTCGGTACATCTGACCCACCTGAGCGCCACTCGGTACATCTGACCCACCTGAGCGCCACTCGGTACATCTGACCCACCTGAGCGCCACTCGGTACATCTGACCCACCTGAGCGCCACTCGGTACATCTGACCGAGCTTCTCCAGCTCTGCCAACACACAGTCCGTTATGCATGGCGTGCCTGCTCTCCCATGCATGCATGCACATGGGTGGTCACATGCACACAGGCAGGCACACACAACGCACACAGGCAGGCACACACACACAGGCAGGCACACACACACAGGCAGACACACGCACACAGGCAGGCACACGCACACACACAATGCACACAATGTTGTTGGAGGCAGAAGGGAGGACGCAAGGAGGGGCAGAAATGGAGTAGCTGAGGATGGAACGCGGAGGGATGACCTAAGGAGCACAGACGAGTGCATGCGTGCAATGGCCGGCCAGGCCAAAAGAGAGCCAGCTGTGGCAAGGCAGGCGGAGAGGCCATGAGAAGAAGTCATGGGAGATCGTGGGTGATCATGGGAAACTATGGGATCATGGGAGGTTATGGGGGATTATGTGAGAATATGAGAACTTTGAACTCATAGGCAATCATCTAGGATCATGTAAGATGATGAGAAATTCTTAGAAGTCACGACAGATCGTTAAAGCTCATGGGCGATGCGGCGGAGTGGAACAACTGACATTTGGCGTAGAGGCAATCCATCATGGCCTTCTCTAGATCCAGCTGCTCGTGTGGCCATCCGAGCGTGAATCGTGATGCCCCCACCGAGAAGACCAACGTGCGTGCGCAATCACCAACGCGGACCGCCACGCAACGCGGACCGACCAGCACCGGGCAGCCAACACGTTGCAAGGCGGGAACACGTAGCAACAGAGGGGGAACGCACAAGAGGAAAGAGGAGGCAGAGGTGGGGGATATGGAAGGGGACAGTTGGGTAACGAGAAGGCTATGCCTGGGCTGGAAGCATGTGGGCGGGAATAAGGGAAATCATTGAAACAGCCATGGGAAGCTTGGCAGCAGCATAATCCGTGGTGCAATGACGGCAGATGAGGTGTACAACTCCAGGAGCGGCATGGCGAGGCGGGGTGGGCGTGTGGAGGGGCATTGGAGGAGGGAGAGGGGACTTATGAGTGGAAAAGGGCATGTGATGGCGAGAGAAGGGGGTGGAGCGGACCTTGTTGGAGATGGAGAAGTTGATGAAGTTGGTGTCCACCAGCACCTGGTAGGGCGGACCCAGCGCCGTGTTGTGCTTGAAGAATAGCGCTGATGACACGTTGGGGCTGCACCGTCACACATGCACCATGCCACATGCCACATGCCACATGATGCCACACGTCGGGATCCATATGCCACAGCCACACCCACACGCCACACCCACAAGCCACACCCACGCGCCCACACCATAATGCCTTCATGCGCCCCCCCTCCCCTCCCCAACTCGCACGCCACACATCAGATGAGATGCCATACGGCGTGCCACAGCGTCACATGCCACCCGCCACACGTATGTGAGGAACACAGTCATGCAAGAAGCGAAGGAAGCAAGAGGAGGAAGACAGAGGGAGACTGTGAGAGGTGCAGGCTGGTGAGAGGAAGAGTGCAAAGGTGTATGTGTGAGCATGGAAAAGAGCGGGAGAGATGGCGTGATGCAAGGGCGAAGATCACACAAGTTGGGATCTTAAGGTCTAGGGTTTATGTTCCATGATGCATGATGCTGGGTTTTTGGGTGCAAGGATTTTCTGAGAATTCTCACAGCAGCAGCCGCAGTCACATCAGAAGCAGCACGACTCACACATTGCGTGGAAGCTTGTCCTTCTCGCTGTCTGGTTTCTTGGGGTCCAACACGTCCTTGCGATACCTGCCCACCGCACAGCACCGCACACAAGCACACAGACGCATGTGCATCATGTACACGGTGAATCTTGAGTCGACTCAAAAGGTGTTCGCACAGCACACGCACACACGCGCATGTGCGTCACTCAAAACCCCTCGCTGGGCTTGCACCTTATCCCCTTCGAATCTTCCGCAGGGTTTAGAACGCGTACGGGTTTATCTCCCGTTTCTGTCAGAATGCATCCCCATCGTTTTTAAGCCAATTCTCCCTCTCACGCTCCGTGAGACCGTTCCGTGACGCCCTATGCCTCTGCGAGTCGTCACCACCGCCCGCCTCCCACCAACTTTCTCAGGTTTCCCAAACGACAGGCATTTGACGTCCGCGAGTATCAGCGCGCAGCCAACTGAATGACGCGCGTCGATCACTACGCCACGACGGCTGGCAAGATCCGCGGCACGAATCGAGACGGCTTGGCGGGCGGGAACGAAGAGATTGTAACTCACTGTTTTATCTCCTTTGGGTTGATTAGTCTTTTCACCTCCGCGTACTTCCGCGCCTTACGTGCTCTCCCCATTTCGGTTCCCGAAAACGAATAATATATGGGATGCTGAACTGAACGTCGTAAAGACAAATCAATCCGAGATGTATGGGTGACGACTAGCGCGATTCCAGAAAGCCACAGCGACTAAACGTGTGTGCGCAAAATGCTGTGGCAAAGCAAGCTTCACATTGATAGACCTTGACGGGCTGACGGATGCACTGTGGGTGTTCCCCACTGAATGTCCCAAGGGTTTCGAAATTAGCCGTGGTAACGGTCGTCGCGAGTTTTGCGAAAACTCGCAAATGCTTCCAGCATCCGAACACTCTTTAAGATTTAACTCAGAAATATACATACGGGCTTTACAAGATCTTCACACTTGTAATAAACCCATACCCTTAAGAGTAAAAACTGTTGGGCTGAGTGCCCCTTAGGATCTTTGGTAGGGTTTAACTCTGAGTAGAGTGATGTAGTAGCGGAAGCGTTTAAATGAAGTCCTTGAACCACCTTGCGCTGGTATGTGAGGGAAAAGTAAGTTAATTAAAACAAGCAGGTACAAAGGTTTATATAAAAGTACAGGGAATACGAAGAGATATAATTAAACTGTTTTGCTGTTGCGGCTCGATACAGTGCGACTCGGGCAACTGCTCAATGTCGAGTCAGTTGTGTGTCCTTGCTGTCGCGCTGCATTTGCCAAGTCAAAGGTCTCTGACCTTTGACTTTCGCGTAACCTCCAGCGGTTACTTCAACCTCCGAGGGTTGACTCGCTGGTGCCTCGATATGCTCTGCTTCGCTTGTGCCTTGGTGTTTCGACACGGCAGAGGCGCTTAAGATTGTTTGTTCCCAACACTCCCCTTCGCTTCTGGAGTGTCGCTGCTGGTGACGTGGCTTTGTCCAATCAGCAGCATGCAGTACTCGAACTTCTGTTTTCCGAGCTTCTTGGTCAAATAGTCAGCTGCCATCTCGAACGTGGGACAGTAGGATAGTTAGAGTCTCCCCTTCTCAATCTCGTCTTTCACGAAGAAATATCGCAGAGCGATATGCTTCGTTCTGTTCGCGAATCCATTTTTGTTGGTGATGCGAATGAGAAAAGTAGAACGAGAATGAATGACTATGGAATGGAAGTGATACAAATATGCAACCCTAGAAATGTGTACCCCATATGGGCTACCCCATTAAAGCCTAGACAACATTATAATTTGACACACCCCCATAGGCAAAGTGGGGGAGAACAAGGGGCCGCAAGACTAGTCAAGCAAAGCAAAGCAAAGCTCAGGGTGGATCACAAAGTCACCACACATTCCGAGCACAAGTTCAAGGCCAGAAGGCCAGTTCACATGCAGGAGCACATATATATAAGAGGCTAAGCAAACAAGAGCAAGTGTGTATATATGTGACAGTACAAGCAAGGTCAAGAAGTGAGCAAGTGAGGCAAGACAGGCACAAGACCAAGCTGAGTACAGAAGCGCTGATGATCACAAGGCGCAAGTGCCTTGGTGAAAACATCAGCAGTGTTGGCCTCAGAGGCCACGTACGCAAGCCGCAACTGACCACGCTGCTGTAGCTCACGAGCAAGGAAGTAGCGAAGAGCAATGTGCTTTGTTCTGTGCTCCAGTCTCTGCTCTCGACACAAGGCCAGCATGGCCTTGCTGTCTACGTACAGGACTGGAGGAGAACGAGGCGGCTCTCCAAGGTCGGTCAGCAGGTAGGTGAGCCAGCAAAGCTCCTGTGCAGCCATGGCCCCGGCATAGATCTCGGCCTCACAACTGGAGCCGAGAACAGAAGACGAGCGAGTAGCCCGCCACGAAACAGAGCCGGAACCAAGGCTGAAGGTGTAACCCTGTGACGACCGCTGCGTAGCCTGGTCGTCAGCCCAAGAAGCGTCTGCGTGCCCAGTGAGGACCACTGGACTCTGCCCTCCAAGCACTAGCCCCATGCCCGACGTACTGCACAAGTAGTGCAACACCCTCTTCGCTGCAGCCATGTGCTCTCGTCTGTGTCTCCCAGGAGCAACATAGCGTGCAAGAATGCTAAGAGGGTATGCAAGGTCAGGTCGTGTGCAGGTCATCAGGTACATGAGGCAGCCAACAAGCTCTGGGTACGGGCCACTCGACCCTACGGACTCATCCGAAGGCAGAGCTGAGAGCGAGTGGCGAGTAGGCAGAGGAGTGGCCTGAGGCGAGGAGTACGTGAAGCCGAAGCGCTGAAGGACCTGCTGCACCATGTGTGACTGAGTCAGGGTAATGGTGCGGCGTGCTCTGTCCCGGGTGATCTGCAAGCCAAGGTAGCTGCGCAGTTCACCCAGGTCTGTGCACGTGTGTCTCTTCTGCAGCTCGGAATTCACGTGGGCGAGTCCAGCAGTGTCAGCAGTGGCAAAGACCAAGTCGTCGACGTACACGAGGATGTAGAACGGCGGCAAAGAGGTGTCGGTGCGTAGAAACAGCGACGGGTCAGCAGTAGAGGGAGCAAACCCAAGAGCCGCAAGCGTAGTCCTCAGTGTGTCGTGCCACTCGCGCGGTGCCTGGCGGAGACCGTAGACTGGCCGTCGGAGGCTCCACTAGGTGCCAGGAGGGAAAGTCCCAGTGAAGCCAGGTGGACGGCGCAGCCAGATCTCCTCGTGCAGGCTACCCTGCAAGAAAGCAGTGCCGAAGTCAAGGGAGTGAAGCTCGTAGTCACGCTGAGCAGCTATGTGTAGCACTACCCGAAGAGTGGTCATCTTCGGGGTGGGAGAGAAGGTCTGAAAGTAGTCAACTCCCTGCCGCTGACTGAAGCCACGAGCCACGTACCGCGCCTTGAAGACAGGCGGAGAGCCCGGCGGCCGCTTCACCCTGAAGATCCACATGCCACTGAAGAAGTTCGCCCCAGGTGGGGGAACCGCGTCAACGTAGGTGCCTATGGACTTCCAGGAAGCCATCTCTGCATCCATAGCTGCCTGCCACTGAGAGGAGTAGGGACCCTCTACGGCCTTCGCGTAGGAGCGCGGAGTCGGGATGTCAAGTGCATCCGGGTCTCCCTCAGGGGTAAGCAGTACGGACACGAGATGAGGTGAAGCAGCAGCCAGACACTGGAACTCCTCCTGCCTGTCCTCAAGGACGTCCGTGCCAAGAGCACACTCACCCCCGACGGACGGAGGACAGACAGACGCAGACTCAGCAACGAGACTAGCAGCGTAGTCTAGACGACAGCGAGCAGCAAAGTCGACGAGCTCAGCAACAAGAGCAGACGCAGCAGTGGACTCAAAAGAGGGGTCAGTGATGACAGTAGCAAGGAGACGCCTGATAGTAGGACTGGCAGCACGAAGAGAGTCCGACTCCGGGTCGGCAAGGGCAGGAAGAGAGGGCTCAGGAGGAGAAGGCAAGGGGCACGCAGAGGAGCAGTGGACGGACGCAGAGACATCCGGTGCGTGCCAGGGACAGGAGGAGGACGCTGACGCGAAACGCGACCACTAGCGCGAGCAGCACGAACCGGCGACGCAGGACGAGACGCAGGCTCACGACGCTCAGCAAGACCTCCAGTAGGACCAGTGTAGGGAGAAGGAGCAGGCAGTGGGGAGGCCGGCGGTAACTGTGACTGTGACTGGACAGGCGGTGGACACTCTAAGGGAGGAGGAAGACCAAGAACCTGCTGAAGGAGCGGATCAAAGTACGGCCGAGGCCGCGCGGCGACTCCAGACACAGCAAGGACAGCACCAGCACCCCCAGTGGCAGCACCAGCGCCAACAGCACCTCCAGCTCCAGTACCTCCAGCAGCACCAGCAGCAGGACCGCCGCTAGGACTGACAGCAGTAGCCTCAGCGCCAACACCCTCAGCAGCTCCGACTCCAGTCGCACACGCAGGCCCAGCAGCTCCAGCACTCCCAGGGCTAGCACCTCCGAGACCGGCGGCACCAGCACCCTCAGCAGGCGAAGAAGCACAAGCTCCAGCAGTACGCCTCCAGCGCCGGGCAAACCACTCGCGCAGCTCCTTTGGAGAGAGTGGCTCCCGCCGAGACGAAGCACCCGGAGAACCACCAGGCCCAGCACCGCCAGACGCCACACGAGCAGGTCCAGCGGCCGCGGGCTCCGCACCCCCAGGCTCAGCAGCTCCAAACTCAGTACCCCCAGGCTCAGCAGCTCCAGACGCAGCACCCCTAGGCTCAGCAGCTCCAGACGTAGCACCCCCAGGCGAAGGACCCCCAGGCTCAGCACCCCCAGTCGTAGCACCCCCAGGCTCAGTACCCCCAGGCTCAGCACCCACTCGCGCAGCACCCCCAGAGTCAGCACCCCCAGGCTCAGCGCCCGCAGCAGTACCAGAGTCACCTGCAACCTCGACCGGCTCGACTGTGTCTACATGGGACACACCTGAAGGGGCAGGACCTTGAGGGGGGAGGGGGTCTACCTGGGGGGGACCTGGCACAAGGAAGTGCGGCGGCGGGGGGAGGGAAGGAGTGCGGTAGGGGAAGAGGCGGTAGTAGGGGACCGACTCGTCAAACGTGACGTCCTGGGAGGACAGAACACGACGAGAGGAGGGGTGGTAGAACTGCCACCCTGGTGCATCAGGCGGGAAGCCAAGGAAGACACAAGGAGCAGCACGAGGGGACAATTTGTCCGCAGACAAGTCGTGGACAAACGCCCGAGATCCCCAGACACGGAACGCAGACGCATCGCCTACCTTCCCCGTCCACAGCAGAGCTGGGGAGGTCTCCGGCATGGAGACCCTGGGGTGAAGGTTGAGCTGATGCGCCGCGTACCGAACCGCAAACGGCCACAGAAAATGGGGGGCAGCCGCATGCATCATGGACGTACGAGCGACGTCCATGACCATGCCAATGCGGCGCTCAGCAATCCCATTTTGCTGTGGAGAGTCCGGAAGCGTAAAGGTCTGGCGGATGCCTCGCGCACGGCAGTAGGCTCGCAGAAGGCCAGAGGAGAACTCTCCGCCTCGGTCAGAGTGCAGACGCAGAACAGGAAAGTCCGAGCCGAAGCTCCTCATGAGCTCGAGACGAGCTGCGCGGATCCAGTCGATCAACACCTCAGTGACATCACCCTTGCTGCGCA